CCCTGTGGCGGCACAGTCTGGTTGAGTGTCCCCACCGTGTCCCCCAGGCCCACAGCGACAGGAACAGAGGGGTACAAGGGTGTCTGCACAGCCACGTGGATCTTGGCTTCCTAAACGCTTCAGAGTTTGGATTCTTTCTGAAGATCGCGGGGTTTCACTTTCAGAAGGGGTTGCAGAGGCTGGCTCCATCCTCCCTGTCCTCCTGGGTGCTGGTGGCTGAGGACAAGGGTCCCCAGAGCCTCCAGGGACATACTGGGACATGGTTCCACCCAGAGTGGGTGCTGAGCTCTCCTGGGGATGGCAAAACCCAGAGCAGATCCACCAGCCAGCCCTGAGAGGAACCCCTGGGTGGGCTGGGGGTGTCAGGGACACCCCAGGGAAGCAGCCAGTGGGGTCCTGCCCACTCAGGGGTGTCCCCTCCCAGGGACATTCAGGGTGGCCAGGGAACCCTGTTGATATCCCTTGTCCCTGTCACCAGGCCCTGCCAGAGTGTGAGGGGTGGTAGAGGGTGCTGCCCCCTCCCCAAAACTTCCCAATGGGGGTCTGGGCTTGGTGTCCTGGGTGGAGGGGACACTGTGAAGACAAGGACCAACCCCTGCACCCAGTGGGAGAGGGTGGGTGCTACCCAGACTGGGCTTTACTGGGAGTATGGGGCCAAACCCAGCTCTTTCCCCCAGCTCCCCTTCGTGTCCCCACAGAGCTGCTCAGGCTGGGGGGCACCCAGGAGCCCCAATCCTCCCACTGCTCCACTCGCCCTCCATCCCAGTACGGCACTGGGGGATGCTGGTGGGCACCCAATGTTGGCAGTCCTCTGCTCCCAGCACCCAAGGGGGGGGCCCGTGGCCACCTGCAAAGGTCTGGTGGCTCCTGTGTCCCTCGTGGAGCAGGACATGGTGCCCATGCAGCCCCCCTTCCTGGCATTCCCCCAGCACCATGAGGTGCCAGGATGCCCGTGGGGTCCTCCCTGCACCATCAAAGCCAGGGATGGGGGACACAGCTGGGAGCGCCCATATCACCCCAACAGCACCCTAGCCCAGCCACAGGCTGATGGCCTCTTTCTGAGCCTCCTCCCTGGGGACAGGTGCCCTGGGGGTGACACTGGGAGTGGCACCACATCTGGCACAGGCCCTGTGTGTGGCCAGCACCACTCTGAAGGGAAGAACTTCCAGGGGACACTGGCACATGTCCCTTAGGGATGGGCACAGAGGATGGCAAAGCACAAGTGGGGCATGGAGGGGCTGTGGGGGGCGATGCCAGGCAGGATGGGGACCTTGGGGGTCCCCCAGGAGCGCAGAGGAAGGGAAGGGCCCCCTGGCCCTGCCCTTGGCTTTGTTTCACACTTAAGAGGCTCTAATTAAAACCAGGCACAAAGGCCCTGGCTGGCGGCAGGAGCGAGGTGCCAGCAGAGCACGGGGGTCTGTCACCAAGGGAACAGGAGTGACACGGGGTCCTGGGCATGGGCCCTGCACACCCAGACACACAGACACGTGTGCAGACACACACACGTGTGCTCCCCACCAGGGAGAGCAGTGCTCAGGCCTGGTTTGTACTGGTCTGAACTGGCCTGATGCTCTGCAGTGCT